TAACAAAATGAGATGAACCCCGACGTGCTTTCACCACAACAATTTCAAACATATTTAATTCTCCTCCACTGCGCTTCTAAGGGAAATACTGTTTTACTCCACTCTATTAATCAAACCTCTAATTCTTACTTTGTAGAATTTACATGAAGCATTAAGATCATTTGATAAAATATGATGCATTGCCGCAGAGCACCAACAGAGCTAAACGCAGAATGGGTAGGATTCTCCCAACAAAACGATGTATAGACTATTATACACAGATAGTGTCCTTAAGAAAAAAATGAATTCACTTCTGATGGAGAATGTTGAGAGTGCAGTGTTTCTACTTTCACTTAAGCAAAACATATGAACATTTTCTCCCCCACCACCCGTTGACATGAAGAAGTAAATCAGGGAGACGGGATTATTGTAAACAACCTACATAAATCCCACAGGCGAGTGAAAGCCACGGGATGTCTCCACAGCCAGCATCATTTGGCCTCTCCACCCTAATTTACCATGCTCCGCCCACTCGGGCCTGCAGGGCTGAGGAGCTGGCTGATCCTCCAGCAGGGCCGGGCCAGCCCATGCGTCCCACTGGCACGGGACGCCCCGCCAGGAGCCAATCACCAAGCCCGCACTCCTGACAGCTCATTACCACTCAATTAGGCAGGTGCACCTCCACGCACAGCCTTCTGACAAATACAGCCCTCCCAGATGCATGTTTAACATTCGGGAGAATTATATAGTGACAGCAAACACTAAACGCCTCACCCTTATCACTTGATTGCCTCAAGATTGAAATCCTATAATTGGCCCAGGCCAGCGGGAGAAGAAGAAAGAAGAGAAAGAAAAAAAAAAAAAGCCAATAAATATGATGCAGTCAGTTTGTAATTGAACAATTATAAATTCATATTCATAAGATGCTTGCTGGCAATTACAAAATGCCATTTGATTAAACACAATTTGAAATGACATTGTTCCATGCTGAAGACACTGTGGTGTCAGCCTAATAAAGAGAATACACATCATAGCAGCCGCTCGCCCAGCAACATGACCTCCAGAGACGGGAGACATGCTGACACAGTGGCTTGGCCGGTGACGGACGGGACTTGGCACCCATCGCTCTTTGTCCCCTAAACCTACTGCTAACACTCACTCGCACAGGAAAAAAAAACTAAAAAACAACGCCACCAAGGGTTGACTTTCAAATTCGAACACCAGTGGGCACAGATTGTGCACATAATAAAACACAAGCAAGGCGAAAAAAAAAAATGTTGATCCCTTGAGAACAGATTCTAATCAAGATGAAATGATTTACAAATCTATTTAATAAGGCTTGCCAGAAGTCAAACTTGGCATGTAAATGCGGTGGGGATTAAATTTCATCGGCAACCAAGACTGTAACTGATCGCCTGCAGACAAAGGGGGAGCCTGCCAGTTTTTTTTCTCCCCCTTCCACTTCTCTTCCCTCCCTCCCTCCCCCTTTCTCTCCACTGCCTGCATTTTGCCTCGTGATCCCTCCCCGGCTGTGTGGAAGGACAGGGGCAGTGCAGAGTGGTGCAGTACAGAGTGGAGAGGAAAGGGGGGAAAAGACAGGAAAAAAAGGAGAGGGAGGAAGGAGGGAGGAGATGGAGACAGAGGGAGGGAGGACTATTGGAGATAAAGAGCAGTGGCGAGAGGGTAAAGGGGGAGAGAGTCGTAGAGAAAAGGAAAGAGGAAGTGAGTGAAAGGAAGCTCAAGGTCAGCGCGAGGACAGTTTGGTCCTCTGAGTTGGACAGAGACACAGCCGCAGTCACCTCTGTGCTAATCAGCCATTCGGCTGGCTGATGAGATGTCAGTTAGTAGTGTGTGTGCAAAAACCTCTCCCTTTGCTTTTTTGGCTGCAAATTGCTGGGGCTGTTGGGGCGGAGTAACAATGTGTGTGTGTGTGTGTGTGTGCCACTCTGGAGTGTAAGCAGGCTGACGTGCTGCTTGTGGTGCCAGTATTGCGCTTTTTTTCTGCTTTTGCCCTCCCCTTCGCCTCTTTTCCTTGCATATTATGCTACAGTGACTGAAGCTGAACTCAGCTTTCCCCTGCAGGGAGGGCAAGAATACTACTGCCAATTAATGCTATATGCAGTGTGCCAGTGTTAACAGTGTGAGGCATTCACTCCAAATTGCTGCGGCATTTAAAAAAAAAAAAAAAAAAAAAAAAAAAAAAAAAGGTGGGTGAGCTGTTTTCCTCGGGCGTGGCTAACCTCTTGCAGGCTAACGGGGATAGCGCCATTAGCTAAGGGCGTAAACGAAAAGCGTCCACAGCTGTGATCAGGTTTGTGACCTAACAGCACTGCAGCTTGTGTCTCATTGGGTGAGTTTTGTGTATCAAGCCAGTTGGCAGAGGCGAGTGTCTCCTCCGTCTATCCTTGGGTTATTTCTAACCATCTGTGCCCAGTCATTAACAGGCCTTTTCACAGTCAATTGTCTTGTTCGTCTCCCCTCTTCTTCATTTCTGTTACTTGCTCTGTGCATGGACCATGAGATGGACCAAGTGCTTCTTCCCCCCCCCCCCTGAATGTAAATGGCATAAGTTAGGAGAGGCCATTTTATTAGCCGGGGCTTAGGAGAGCTGTGGCGCCATAGGTTAATTCAAAGTGGCATCATGGAGGATGCATCAAGCAGTGGAGATCAAATTACAGGGCAAAGCGCTCAGTGGTAAGAAAAACAAGCCAGTGGTATGCTGCAGAATGTGTGCGTGCATGCTGTGTGTGTTTAGCAGCAAGTGAATGTGTGTCTGAGAGACTGGAGAGGGAGAGAGGGGGGGGGGGGGAAAGGAGACAGCAAAAGGAGAGGAGGAGGAGGGGTGTCCATAGAGGGCCAAGGGGGATGGGGATGGAAGGAAAGAGGGAGTGAAGGGAAGTAGGGGGGGGGAGACGAGGCTAACTGGGCCAGCACGCACACATCACCCCCACCAATTAGAGTCACTCATCTCCCCTTCACACAATACATCACCCTCCATTTCTGATGTTCACAATCGTCGGGGAAAGAAATAACTGTAAACATCACTGCAGCAGGGATGGCATTCAACAAAAAAGAAGAGATATCCTCAGCCTGAAATGAGTTTAGCTATTCCTTCTTCCCCCTCACGCCTTTGTTATTGGTCTTTGTGCAATGATTTGCCTAAGGACCCAGATTTCCTAGCAACAGCCTGCCACCAAACATTTGGCAGGAGTTCAACATTCTCTCTCTTTGTGAGAAATGGCAGTGCTGCCTCCCTGCTCTGCGTCTGCCACCAGCCCTGCTGCTGCTGCTGCCACCGCTGCTGCTGGATGAGCCAGACTGGCTGCAAGAGCCCTCTAATAATTCTGTTTTCTTCCAAATCACACCACATAGAAGCAGGCACCTTGAGAGCCTCTGCCAGGAATCATCAATCACCTGTTTAGCACGCATGCTCCAACAAACACGGACGCACGTGCAGGCGAGAGAACATGCTAACATACGCACATGCGCGCTACTCTGTAATTACATTTATTTACAGATTAGAGTTTACAAGACTGCTTATACCGCCCAGCAGTCGTTTAATGGAAATCAACATAGCACATTAATACACAACAGAGGTTGGTACAGTGAGAGAGAGAGAGAGAGAGAAAATGTACAATCTGGCTGTAAATTGGGTAAATACATCTGAGTGCTCTCGACAAGGTTAATGGAGAGAGGAGGCCTTAGTGAACACCGGTCTAGACACGCCACACTGTATTAAGTGGGAATAGCTGTGGCAGTGTATCTGGCTAAGCACTTTAGAAGTGCGAATGGGACCCTAATAAAGCGAATGATCCCCCTGTTTTAACAAAGAGGCCTGGGAGGGACGCTGAAAACGACGTTTGAGATTCCAAGCACTGACAAACACCCATTTGTGGCCCTTCTATCCCCCCTCAAATCCCACGGAAGCTTTTCCCTGCGCGCAAGACTGTCGGATGTGGGCAAAACCCAACTGCCAATTTGCAGAGGATGTGCCGTGTTTGCTAATGCGAACCAGAGACTAAAAATGAGACCACACAAACTCTGGAGGATGGACTGACTGATCTGCTTTCTGGCACAAACACTGATGTGTTTTTTTTAGGGGGGGGGGGGGGGGGGGG